GTTGGAGGTGCACAACACTCTCGTCACAACCACTCACGTTGTCGTTCTTGCGCACTGCCTTCTTGCAAGGCCATTGTTGCCTTTGTCCTTGCACCAGCTCTGCGACGAGGAGGAAGCACGCGTGCTTGTGCCTTGTGGAGCCCTGTTGCCCCAAGCAAGCAGAAAAACACGCATGCAAACTGCAAACTGCGCAACTGCTGTCGCATTTTGAACACCGACAGCATAATTTATACCCAAGGTGCAGCCTGGGAAATGCACTTTTCACATGCAAGCACACGCACGCACACACGCATGCATGCACGCTCGCACACACGCACGCACACACACACACACACACACACACACACACACACATACACACACACACACACACACACATGTCCAGGTGGTCAGTTGGTTCACATTGTGCACCACTTGACCATACGTCTTTGAAGGCGGTGGTGTGGTCCCTCCCGTCCCTGTTAACGCCACTCACGCACAGCTCCTCACGCGTGCACGGAGCATCCGCCACGTTACCTCATCCACGTGCGTATGTTGCGTATGTTGCGTATGTGCTAGTGCGTGTGTGAAGGGGCACAAGCATGCGCTCATTCCCTTCCTCTGCCACGTCGTTCGTCTCACGTGACGATTTTGGACGTTGCGATTGTTGTTGTGGTTGCTGTTCGTTGTTGTTTCTGTTGTTCTTGTGCTCATTCAGGTACCGCCACGATTGCAGTCATCCACACCGGTTTGGTGACAACGCCACGTGGATGAAGGACGCCTGAGGCTGGCACGCATGTGCGCTGTGCTGCCCAAACATCACGTGACACCCCGAGCACCAGCACCAGTAACAGCAACAACGGTAACAGCAACAACAGTAGCCGCACAGCAGAAGCCATGATGCTGTGGTCACGTGGCGTGCGTTCATGACGTGATGAGATGGAGGCTCCCGTTTGGATGACCACGGCAATGGGCGATGCGAAGATGCGTGATGACAGCAGACTGGACAACGGAGTGGGAAGAGCAACAGCCGTCAGCTTGCAATGGTGGTGCAGGTGATGTCCGACGCGTCACCATTACCCACCGCCAACGATGTAATGATACGCGTGGCAAGAACAGCGTAGCGGTGCACGTTGGTCCATTTCTTTCGTCGTCTTTGGCACCTTGACCACCACTGCCACCACACCACACCTAGCGCTCGCCAACATCGTTCTCCTTTGCATTCACGGCTTCTTGCCGGGTCGTGTCTGCTGGCATTTGAAGACCCCAGATCATCACGACGACACCAACAGCAGCATCAACAACGACGACGAAAACAGCGAGCACAGACACCATGCTGCGAGGCAGAAAGCAACAACAACCACGATCGCAAGCAACAACAGTAGCACACACACACACACACACACAACAGCAAGCGACACCCCCATACTCCACGGCCGCCACCGCCACCACATCACATCACATCGTGTCATTAGACCACCGTGGAGTGGTGTCATTTGCCAAGATGAGGTCGAGGTTGCTAGAAATTGGCAGCGGCACGTGTATGGATGGATGGTCCCACTACACGCCCAGCTGCATGTGGTGGTGCCGCTGTCCCATTGGGAGGAGGACGTCGACACCGTCATCGTCTTCGTCTTCCTCATCGGCCTCGTGTCCACCATCATCAACGCTGTCTGTGCACCACACACCGTGCACTGCCTCTACATACGGCTGCTGCTGGTGTTGCGGTGTCATCATCATCATCGTCATCATCGTCATCATGTCCAAGGGATGTTCCGTGGCTGGCTGCATGAGTCCCGCCACCACGTCCTCCTCCAACAGCAGCAGCGCCGTGTCGTCATTGTGACCGCGCGTGTCCTCCTCATCCTGCTGGTGTTGGTGCCATGGCGACCACATCTCGCGCATGCCGCTCAAGGCCTGGGCCATGACCGGGTGCATGGAGGCGAAGGACGGACGGGTCCGCGGGTGGTGCCTGTGACGATGGCGGCGGCGGTTGCGATGGTGGCGGTTGCGATGGCCGTCATACTGCTGCTACTCAAGCACGATGGAGGCACACGGGGTGACACAGCGAGAGGTGAGCATGTGTGGCAGTAGTGTGATTGATTGTGTTGGGTGGAATGGCTGGGTTGGCTTGCCGTCACCTCTCATATGTGTTTGTGTGTATGTGTTTGTGTACTTGAGGCACGATGATGCTCACACGCGTATGTGCTCACATGCGTATGCTCACATGCATTTGTGTGTATGTGTATGTATGTGTGTGTGTTTGTTTGCTTGCCAGAAGCAGGCGTCGTACCTGGTGCTGATTGGCGAGCGCGTGTGAGATGCGCTGTTCTTCTTCATCTCCAAGCACGTGGAAGCTGCAACCAAACATCCACAGGCCACAGCAACACGGGTCAGTCGTGAATGCTTTGGGGCAACAGCGCACGCAACAGCACTGCGAGATGTCACGCACACGGTTCCTTCACCGCTGACCTCCACGCCTGAGCCCCACCTCTCAACAACCTCTCCCCCCCGCCTAGCGCACACAAACACGAGTACGCAGGCGGTGTGCGTGCGTTTCTGAAGAGACGATGGCAACTGTGGAAGAGGACAGGCAAATGTGAGTATGTGTGTATGTGTGTGCTTGCTCTCGCTCGCTTGCCTTCCTCCCTGCCTGAGGTTTGGTGCCCTCGACTGCTGTCCATCTGTTCTCCACCCCTTCTCACGAACACACACGCTGCGCGTTTGCTCACACACCGATGTCAACTTTGCTTTGCTTGTCGTCTTCTCTGTGTACTGTGAATCCAGACTGACGTGCACGCACCAGCAGCAACTGAACCGAGCCCACCATCAACGCAGCAACCAGCACGCACAATGGCAAGCGGCAAGCAGCAACAACACCATGTGCGCGCAGAAACGTGTCCAAACACGGGCAGCCAACCAACCAACCAACCATCACCACCACCCCAACCAGCAGTGATGCGGTACCCAGTGCTCCCTCTTCCACCCGCAACACATGTGCATACAAATACCCACCACACACACACCACACACACACACACAC